GAGAGAGAGGAGAGAGAGGAATTTGCTTGATCCTAAGCTAATCTCATTCTTCAGTTTTTGAGAACTGCATTGCTGTTTTCCATAGAGATGGCATCATTTTCCAGCCTTGTCAATGGCTCACAAAGAATGTCATTTCTTCCCCCATCTCTTCCAACATGTTGTCAGATCGACACAATAGAGACAGGTTTGAAATGTACTTTGCAGCCAGCGTGGTTGCGCTTGTAATTCCACCATTCTGGGGGAGCTGAAACAGGAATGATGACATATGTTTGAGGTCAGTATGAGCTAGATGTTTCCAGAGAAGCTTGTGCTCCACAGCAAGACACTATCTGCAATTCTCTCAAATGTGGGTGTGTGTATTCAGAGTAATACAGTCTAAAATTCGAAGCTGCTCGTGTCATGTATTTGTGACAAAGAAAAATAACCAGAGCATAGTAGTTTTTTTGTTGCCCTTTTAGCTGTATATACTAACTCAAAAATTGATTAATGGAACATTGCACAAAAAAGAGGCATTATTGTAGTAGTATGTGAATATTCCTTCCTTCTTTATATACAATAATCAATAACTGAGATTAAGGTGAACAAAGCAGTTTCATTAGATGCATAGATAACACAGAACAGAGGAAGAAAGTGTAATAATACTAAAAGGGACAGAAACATCTAATTTAAGAGTAATCAGGAGCTGTGCCTGGTGGTATGTCTTTAGTCCCAGCACTTGGGAGGCAGCAGCAGGCAGATCTCTGTGAAATCAAGGCCAGTCTGGTCTACATAGTGAGTGCCAGGACAAAGCTACTGGGAGACCTTGTCTATAAATAAATAAATAAATAAATAATAAATAAATAAATAAATAAATAAAAATCAGGGATGCTAAATTATATGAATGGTATGGTATTGAACATTGTTTCAGAAGCCTTCACTCCATGCATAAGATAGTGGATATTATGTGACCTGCATTAGAACAGAACTGAGGACATGGTCATTTTACCACACATGAATTTGGTTCAGTTCTAATAACAATAATAATTACTCTTGTAACTCTTCACAGAGGGGATTATGATCAAATTACATTCATGATAACAATCCCACTAAGAAACAAAGAGCAAAGGTGATAGATGATAGATAGATTATAGATAGATAGATGATACATAGATAGATGATAGATAGATAGATAGATAGATAGATAGATAGATAGATAGATAGATAGATGATTCAAATACTGAGAAAATATCATGTGGAAGTTTTAGATTTTATTTGTTCAGTTATTTTTTTAATTTTATTTATTATTTTTATTTTATGTGTGTGCGTGTATTGCCTGCATGTAGGTAAGTGCACCCAGGTCATGCGAGGCCCATGGAGGTCAGGAGAGGCTGTCGGATCCCCTGGGATTGGAGGTACAGACAGTTGTTAGCTGTCATGTGGGTGCTGGGATTCAAACCGAGTCTTTTGCAAGAACAACCAGTCTTCTTATCCGCTGAGCCGTCTCTCCAGCCCCTATTTTTTCACATACAATACTGATTAAATATATGGAAAGACTTGCTCACAATATGTAGAGGATGAAAATGGATTTGACTTAAAAATAATGAAATTCCCTTCACAATAGTTGTTGAAGTAAAACCACTTTCAGGAAATAGTTCCTATGTTACTCACATACTGGATGGGAGGCTGGGTTACATGACTTGTAGGGTCATTTCTGACTCAACAAACTGATTCTATGAATAAAATGTAGAAGGAATTTAACTTCAAAACTAAAATAATTACTTTAAGCTAAAAACTCTGATGTATTGGGATTTTTATTAAAAGTTAGAGAAAATTCAGTAGTGTGTGGTGGCACACACCTTTGATCCCAGCATGCTCTACCTAACATCAGACCACATGAACTCTTAGATATGTCACCCAAATCACAATACAAGAAAGAAAAAGTGGTAAGCTACAATTTACTAAAATTAAAAACTTAAATTTTGCTCCAAAATACACAAATTATGGAAAATATTGCAAATATTTGTAATATTTTTACATCCAAAATATACAAAGAAAGATCACAAGTCAACAATATGACAGCACAGAACACAATTTTAAAATGGGCAAAATAACTGAGCAGGCAACTCCCTAAAGAAGGTATACACATATAACAAATAATACATGTAAAAAGACAGTGTTGGAGCTGGAGAGATGGCTCAGCAGTTAAAAGTACTGCCTGTTCTTGCAGAGGACCCAGGTTTGGTATTCAGCACCCAAATGGCAGCTCACAACCACCCATAACTCCAGTTCCAGGTAGTCTAACACCCTCTTCTGGCCTCTGAGGATACTGCACACACATGCAGATACCGACATTCAGACACAACCAAACACAGATACACATAAATAAAAATAGCAAAAATAAATCTTAAAAATTGCAAATAAAAATGACAAGGAATATCACCACTTATCTAATGATATAATAAAAAGTTTTGGAGAAAAATGGTGGTGATGGCACTCTAAATATACTTAATGACACTGAACCATATACTTTAAATAGTTAGAATGGTAAGTTTCATATTAAGTATATTTTCCCACAATAAAAAGCTAAATTCTGTATGGTTGTGTTTATACAACACATGATATAATTATAAAGAACAGCTTGGAGGTTACTGAGGACCAGGTAGGGTAAGAAAGGAGTGGGCGTGTCTACAAAGGGGAAGCACAGAGTCTGGGGAACACATGGCAGAGTGTCTTGACTGAGGCTGTAGCTATGTGAAGGTATGCATGTGAGAACATTGTGCAGATGTAACTGGCAAAATCCTAATACGCTATAGTTATTCCAATGTAAACTTGCTGTTTTGATAATATACCATATTTTACAACATGTTAACACTGGGAGTGTGGGGAGAGGTACGCAAAACTTGGTGTTTTTATTTGTTTTTTCTCACAAATTTGCAATAACTTCAGAACAAAAGGTTTTGTAAAGGATGGAGAAATGGAAATATCTATAAGGCTAACATTTAGAATAAAAACAGTTTATTTGAATATTCACAAATATTGTCTTAAGAATTATAATGTGGGAACTGGAGAGAGAGAGCTCAGTGGTTAAGAGAGCCTGCTGCTCTTCAGAGGACCAGAGTTTGGTTTCTGGCACCTACCTTGGATGGTTCACAAGCCCCTGTAACCCAGGTCCAGGGGATCTGATGCCATCCTCTGGCCTCCACAGACACCTGCACACATGTGTACACATAAATAAAAATTTATCTTAAAATGAAAAAGAAATTATAATGTGATGGGCCAGTGGGAATGGGTCAACAGCCAAAGGCATTTGCTGCCAAACCTGAAGACCCGAGTTTGATTCTCAAGACCCACATTATGGAAGGAGATGACTGACTCCCATAAGTTGTCCTCTGACTTCCACATATGCACCATGGAACATGTGCACCCACACACATACACACAAAATAAACAAACAAACAAAAGAATTGCAATTACATTTGGCTATACATATATTCATTATTGTGTTACATGAGACAACTGTGCATTTTCTATTTTAAACATCAGTATATAAACTGTGTGTACATATGAGCATTTGGTACTATAGAAAAGAACACAGATTTGGGGCTGCAGAGATGGCTCAGTGGTTAAGAACACTGGCTGCTCTTGCAGAAGATCCGGGTTCTATTCCTAGCACCCATATGGCGGCTAACATCTCTCTGTAACACCAGTTCCAGCAGATCTGACACCTTCTGACTTTGGCAGGCATTACATGATACAGGTGCACTTACACACATGCAGGCAATACTCTCATACACATAAAAAATATATTCTTATGAAAAGAACACAAACTAATGAGCTTGTTCAGTTGATTAATAGAGATAAATTTATATGTTGATATATTGACTCTCTTACATATATGAGAAAGCAATTTTATTATAAGGTAAACTCGGAATTTGATTTCTTTTATCACATATAAAATTATCACAGTTTGTTATTATCGCTTAAACAATTATTTTTGTCACAGTATATTTACCTCATTTTTTTTATAGATTTGTTTCTGGAATTTGAGGAATAACGACAGAAGGCCTGGGTCTGCACTGAGAGTATGATACTCGACCATCATGCTTCTCTCTTTCCTGCAATGCAAGGCTGGGGATCAGGGTGGGGATCAGGGTAATAAATGTAGTACTGGGGCTGGTGAGATGGCTCAGTGAGAAGCTTGCCACCAAGCCCTGACAATCTGAGCTCAATCTCTGGGACCCACATGGTAGAAGGAGAGAAGTAACTCCCACAAGTTGTCCTCTGATCTCCACACATGTGCTGTGGCATGTGCACATGTACATGTGCACACACAAAAAATGAAAAAATAAAA